AGATGAAGGCAGAAGAAACAAGCCGAGACTAAACTGTGATTCCTTCCACCTTTTGTAATGTTATTATATTTTGACTGGTTTGCTGCCCCAGCTTGTTGTCCAGTCCATAAGAGTTTTATCATTCTAATTGCCTGTAGTTGAAACATCAATTAAAGAAATATAAATGATTGAATCTGCAGCTATTGTGCATGTCTTTTCATTTTTGAAAAGAAGCTAAAACCATCTTGGACATAAACATCAAGACTCACAGTGGGCGTTTGGACCTCAGCTGTCAATCAGCTGTTGTCATGACAGTGTGGTTCGCTGGCTCGTTAATGTTATCTCTGATCCACACAAGAAGTGTTCAGGTAGTTTCAACACCAGATGAGTCACCGGTGGCCTCTGTGCACCAAGTGCTGTGCTCATCCTGCATTATAGAGAGAAGAGTGTATATAGAGTCAACTGTCTTCAGACAAGTCCAGGTGTCGTGTTGTCATGACAATGGATTTGGACTGTTTTTACTTTAGTTTCTGTCATAAACCCATTTTGTGGTAGGAAATGTCTTCCATGTTGTTTCCCTTACATTTTGAAAAGCTTCTTTAATCAACATAGACACAGCTCTCAAAATGAACTTGTTTGCAAGTTCTTCCCTGACAAACCAAAAGGCGAAAGACCAGGAGACCTTTATTTTCCAGTTAAGCAACCAACAGCTGAGGTTCCGCCAGCAAAGCTTTTAATATTTGCTACTTGCATGTAGGAGGTCTCAGGGGCCATCACACTACATGTGCCAGAAGCCTATAAAAAAAGAAACAACGTCAACTCCATAACTAGAACACATTCAAACACACTTTAAACAATTCGAGTACACACACAGAAAAACACACACATAAAGCAAATCACGAGCTCAGGCTCTGTGATCCCTGCCCTGTTGTTCTGTTCCATGCACTTTAATTGGGGATTTGAGCCAGGCTCTTGTCCTTCTCACTGTGACAAAGTAAAAATAGCACTTTGACAAGTGACAGAAAACCCAGCCAGGCTGAGACTGTGCATTCTCTGTCTGTAGGCTGCTGGGCACAGGGCCTCATGCTCGGGGCATCCAAACACAGAAGGACAAAATGTCAAACCTATGGCCCATGTGAGGTCATGTTCCTGTTTAATAGGCCTTGCTGAACGTGAGGTTTTCATCTCAGTAACCTAGTTTTTTCCATGTCCCCAAGTAATAAGCAGAGACTGAGTGTTGAGGAACAGCAGATAATGCAGAACTTACAGGAGTCACACTCAGTGAGAGAGAGGTTTCTTTCACAAGACAAACAAAGCCATAATGCAGGCAAGAAGAAGACTTCAGGCTACATGCCAATCCTTGCCTCCTCTCCTCTTTGCTTCTGGTTGTGTTTCTGCATGGTAATGTTGTTTGTTGCTGTTAACTCTAGCACTTTGTTGAATCCTAAAGAGAAATGCTCATGTTAGCAGTTTAGTGAATGAGTAGAGCTCTGAAATATTCAGTCAGAGCTCAGGTGCTGAATCAAGTTTTTGGTGAGCATCTTAATTAGCAAAAAATCACCACGTGTGTGGATAAAAAAACATTTTGGTGACTTCCTCTACATCATAAAACATTTACTATTGTTTTTAATTTCACCTTTAGTTAGATGACATTTTTTCCCTTTCATAGTCAGAACCACCGGGGAATGACAAAGCAGCTGCGGAGAGCCAAGTGATGACTATGACTGCAGCTGTGTTCAGTCAGTGAAGAAAGGCCTAATTTTAACACTGGGTGGCAACTGGCCACATATTGGTGTAAGGCGATAAGGGCCCAGGCTGAGAGACATGATGAGTTTCATCTGATAACAGAGCAGGGAGGGCAGATCGAGGACAGTCAGGAAAACTGAATGATTTCAAAGAATTTCCTGACAGCTGGAGTTTGCCGAAAAGAGAGCTTCAACTCTGCTAGAGGATACACATTACTGGATTTGATATTGTCTGCATTTTGGCATTGTGATTGTTTATGAGGTAAGAGCTGGCCCCTGTCTAGCTTTAGGAAAGTGGATGTTTTTGAGATATCATCAAATGGCAGCTCTATAATATCTGGCCAGACTAAGTAAGCAAATCCAAAAAGCCAACAGATGGAGAGACTTCAGTAACCAAACTACATGATTATTAAATAGAATTAAACACAAATGATCAATGGACTTCTCAGAATTGCTTGCAAGATGCAGAAAAGGCAGGAAGTGGTATTTGATTACTACTAAAAGATAAACGATACAGTTACTGTGTAACTTCATAATACATGGCTGAAAACCACAAAAGCATGTCAAACCGTTATAGCAGATAGGTATTATTTCACATTCTGTTTCAGTGTTAGACCGCAGCAGTAACAGCTCTTTAAGCCACTGGGGTTCACTCTCCTTTGAAATGTATCAGTAATATAAATAACATGTGGCGGTGTGCGCTTGAAAATAATTACAGTTATTAACTCTAATGCGACACTTATGTGACTACGCTCCACACAGGGTGAGAAATAGATGTGGAAATTGCAATTGCATATTTTATCTCACTTTCAAATTTGACAGATGGGGTCAATCCTGGCCTAGACTCCAGGGTCACAACCTTTGGCTGGTCCTCAGCATTATGATGTGTGGAAATGCAGGGGAGGAGCAATCCTGATCTCTGATTGGCTGGAAGGGCTCAGCAACTGAGAGTGTGCTGCCTTAGATACTGTATCACACACCTGCCAGTCTCTGTCTCTCACATGATGGCACAGGGGGATCAGGACATTTAAATTGTGAGCCCCACCCATGTATAACACACAGATAGGAGACCAGGGAAACTGATATGTGCTCAGGACACAAACAATATTTGTCTGAGAGGTCTGAAAGAAAAAGACCAAAAAGACTAGAGCCCTCATGAAATGTAATTCTTTAATATACAACCACCTTATCATGTTTTATTTAAAGGGGAAATGCACTCTGAGACCTTTAAATCGAGAATTTACATGCAAAAACTTCTAAAAGAAGAAGATGCTTTATCTATAGCTGGAGAAAACCTTCCACTGATTAATCATAACTGGTCGTTTCATAAATGACCGGGATCGATGACTGTCTCGTACGCTTCATTTTGATATACTGATATTATAGTGCTGTGTGGTGAGTCAGTGCTCCCAGCCAGCCAGTGTAGGAGCCGTTTGCATGAGCAAGGATGAGACTGTGTAGCTCTGAGACTGTCAACAACTCAGAGGCGAGAATATAGCGATGGGCAGTCCACACTCTGGAAACAGTTTGATGGTGAAAGTGAACAGCTGCTGCAGGTTAGACTCAGTTCGACATTTTAAAGTATTTTGATTTCTGGAGGACATATACTATATGTGCTTGTTATGAACTTCGCTATGTGAGTGCTCTTTATGTTCTGGGCTTTCAGCATCTAATCATATAATTATGTGATATTTCACTGTGCAGTGTTTTACATCAGTGGTCCTCTTTTTGGACTGATTCCCTCAACAGTGTGTGAGTGCTCTTAATACTTTATGTTATTATCAATAACATTGTAATGTAATGGCTGTTTTGATCACAATGTTCAAGATAGTTTTGTTGCTGAGTTGTGTTATATTGACTAATTTTGGTAACTTTATGTCATCATGTTTTCTAAGCCTAGATTGTCAATTTTCATTATACAAACATTATGCTAACAGTAATTAAAAATGTGATTTCCATCCATGTCAGTAATTAAAGATGATCAGCTGTCATGTAGGAACATTTTTTACTTTGGAACAAAATTGATAAGTATTAGTAAATTTAGATACATGGATTCTTCTGGAATTTGACATAGAGTTGTTTCTGTATACAGAATCACTCTAAAACATGAAATAAAAAATTGAATAAAATACATTTTTTAAAAGCTGTTATGACAGTGAGTTTCAATGAAGTCATATAATCATGGGCCAAATCACAAATTTGTCTGAAAGGGCTTACTGTACGATCTGTGCGGCATATACTATATATTTTTGGTTTGGATAAGAAAAAACTCCACAAAAATGCTCTTAAACAGCACAAAACCTCAGGAATCACAGGGCGACTCTCCCAGAACATATGTACATATAACAGGCCTCAAATATAAAGGCTAGTCAGAAGTACTGATAATCTCTACCCCAATTTGTTTATATTTTGTGATGGTATTTGTTGTTTCAAATGATTTACAGTATTTCATTGAGGGTTTAGTATGTAAACCCAATTTATTCAGAAAGTCTATATATCTCTCACCCTGTTGCTAGCTCTGACTGCAGTTAGTGTGCATAAATCAAGATCCAAACATCCATCCGAGGCCTCATCTGCACTGTCAGAGGCATCACACATGAGCCTGGACACACTCATAGCTTTTTTAAGGGCAGAACACAAGTGGACATTCCCTTGTGTTAAGTGATGGCATTAGTACTTTTCAAGTCTTTGAGAGGAGAAAATGTCCCAAGTAAAAAAGTGATATGTATTCTTTGATAATCAGTTTGTTGTCTGTGGTTTTATCAGCTGCAACATCTGCTTCACATTGGACACACTCTGCTGCACAAAATGTGCACTTTTTGTTGTGTGTATACAAAGCGCATATAAAGGGATTACCAACATGTCATGTCATTGTCAGGAGTTGAAAAGAGTGTCACTGTGCTGGCTTCTAATGACAAACATGGCAGAACAGAAAAGCTTTGTCTTGCCTTTATTGGTGCCCTGGTCACTCCATGAAACCAGCTCCTACAAATCAATCAGTGATAATACAGGGCAGTTCTGAAATTGTGTAATGGTTTTCAATTAACCTGTCACGATTTGTCCTGGTTTTGTAACTGGAGGAACACTAAGAAACTGGGGCACCAAGCTGATGACATGGACAAATACCAGTTTTCTGTTTATTCTAGTTTAGAAAAGGTTGAAGCTTGTAACACTGATAGACTGATGGCAAACGTATCCGTTCACTGTGGTAACTGGGGTAAATGCTGCCTTGTGTGCTTTGTTAAACCTGTTTTTCTGCATCTCTGTTCTCCCCAGGTCACTCTAAAGAGCATGTTACTGACAGAACACTTCTCTTCACATGACATAAGTTAAGTCTGATTCCAACTTGACTGCCACTGGTGATGAAAATCTGCACTTTGAGACTGAAACGGTATGACCTGATACAAGGTTAAACTAGATGAATAAAACAAATCCAATATAAATGTATCTGATTTCAGCATTGTGATTCTTAAAGCCATTATGTACAATTGTCAAAAACAGCAGAGCTAATATCTTTTTGTGCGTGTCTCCTCTCAGACAGGGGGTAAGATGTATGTGGAGTCAGTTGTCCGATGGGGAGCGTGGAGCATCCTGCTCTACTTTGGACTGGTTGTATCTGCAGGAGGCTGCCCTCCACGTTGTGTGTGTCAACCTGAGGCTAAAGTGATCTGCTCTGGCAAACATTTGAACTCAGTGCCAGAGGGCTTTTCCAGCAATGTTCGGTGTTTGGACATATCCCACAATAAGATTAAGACTGTGGGGCGCCGCCAGTTCTCTGGACTCCTGCAACTTCAAGAGTTGGACCTCAGTGATAATATAATCTCCATGATTGAGGTGGAGGCTTTCCAGGGTCTACAGAATCTCAGGATGCTCCGGATTAAGAATAATCGTCTCAAGATCATCCCAGTTGGGGTTTTTTCTGGCCTCTTTAGTTTGCGCTTTCTGGATCTGAGCCAGAATGAGATTCTGGTCTTCTTGGACTATACCTTCAAAGAAATGGTTAACCTGCAAACGCTGGAAGCTGGGGAGAATGACTTGGTGTTCATCTCACAGCGGGCTTTCTTCGGTCTGCAGAATCTGCAGGAGCTCAACCTGGACCGCAGCAACCTAACCTTCATTCCCACTGAGGCACTGTCCCAGCTCCAGAGCCTGACATGTCTTCGCATACTACGACTCACCATCTCTACACTGCCCAACAACGCTTTCCGCCGGCTCCACCGTCTGCGTAGCCTCCTGATTGCAAACTGGCCAGCACTGGACACTATCGCTAGCAGCAGCCTGATTGGGCTCAATTTGACCTCGCTTGTCATCAGTAGCTGTAACCTAAGTGTGGTTCCTTACTCAGCACTCCGTCACCTGGTCTATCTGCGCTTCCTGGACCTGTCCTACAACCCCATCACTGTTATCCAAGGTAACTTGCTAGGGGACCTCCTGAGACTCCAAGAGTTACACCTAGCAGGAGGGAGCCTGCTACGAATTGAGCCAGGGGCCTTTAGAGGACTGGCTTATTTCCGCTTGCTTAATGTGACTTCCAATCAACTCACTACTTTGGAGGAGAGTGTCTTTCATTCTGTGGGGAACCTTCAGGTGTTGCGGTTGGACGGGAACCCCTTAGCATGTGACTGCCGGCTTCTCTGGGTGGTCCGCCGCAGAGTGCGCTTAAACTTTGAGGGACATCAGCCCACTTGTTCATCTCCTGATGCAGTGAGACAGCGTGAATTCCGAGACTTTTCTGATAAGGATCTCCCGACGCTGTTTACCTGCCGCCCTCCTCATATCATGGACCGCAGGTCACAGGAAGCCAGAGTAGAGGAGGGCACCACAGTTCTCTTCTCTTGTAAGGCTGATGGGGATCCATTTCCATTTATCACTTGGATCTCATCTCATAAGAATGTGGTTTCCCCAACTGGACGAATCAGAGTTTTGCCCAATGGTACTCTAGAAGTGCGTTTTGCCCAAGTTCAGGACAGTGGCACATATCAGTGCCTGGCTGGCAATGCAGCTGGCAATGACAGTCTGGCTGTCAAACTGTATGTGAAGGGGCTCCCTCATAACCGAACCATTTCTTTCTTCTCAGAAGAGGGCTGGGTAGAGCCTTCAAATACACAAGCTGTTAACTCCTCAGCTCAAATGGCCAAGCCATACCCGTTTGACGCAAAGACTCTGATTATTGCCACCACCATGGGTTTCCTATCCTTCCTCAGCTCTGTGGCCATCTGTTTTGTCTTTATGTTCTTGTGGAGCCAGAGCAAAGGTCAAATAAAGCACACAGCAACTATTGACTTTGTTCCTCGGTCTTCCATGAGTGGAGGAGGGGATGGAGGTGATGGTGGCAGGTTCACCATGAAACTTATTTAAAGCCAAGGAAGAGGGGGAAAGGGTTTTTATATTGAGTGTGAACTTTTCTGCTCATTGGAACACTTGAGGACTGAGACCTTGACTCAGAGGCCACTTTTCAAGAATAAATTTGAGCCAGTTTGCTGGGTGTGTGCTAGCCGTCTGCTAAATTAAGAGCTAAAAGTTACATCTCAGCACCCACTTGTCTGTGTTATCTAACTAATGAGTATTTCATGATCCTGGAATGGAAAGAAGTTAATGACTAGCCAGAGCTCTCTCATGATTACTGTGCATTAGTTTAGAACAATTTGTGCTTGAATAAGCAAATGACAATTTCCTTAGCACAGGTCAAATTTTTAATGTACCATGTAATTATAAAACAGTTTTAATTTTCACCGAGTTTACACTTAACACATGATGGCAGTTTGAGTTTAACACATTTATCACAGGTTTCTATTTTATTGAAACATACCAGGTGCTTGTTTAATCATCCATATTGTACAAATGTGTTCAGCTTTATGTCTTCACTTGTCGATTCAAGCCAAGTAAACACTGTCCATTCGAGCCTTTGGGTTGCTATTTCTGCTTATCCACAGAGGATCATGTGAAAGACTGTCAGTCCAGCATTTGTTATACGACTCTAACATGTGAATATATGACTATAAAGCTTTTGATACTTGCAGATAATATACTGAATAGACTAGACAAATAATTAGAGTTTTTTATGATGAACTTTATGATTACATTTTGAACATTTCGGAGTGTTCCAGTATGTTTCGGGTATGCTGCTTTCTGTTCTAGGTACTGCTTACTTTATATGATTAAAAAGGCAATGATAGTACACCATAATGTACACAGGAATGTATTCTTTCATATTTAAAACAAGTTTATAAGGTCCAAATTTGATCACTGCATTATTTTGTACGTTATCATGTAATTGCATTAGATGACCTTTTGTTCCACCAGAAGATGCTTTGTTTTCTCCTTTTTATATTCAAGAAATTATTATTATTATTATTATTATCCACACAAAACACTGAAACATATGTGCCTCGGTAACATTCTTGCCATCGATAGAGAAAATGTTCCCCTGATCACCATTATCTTGTAAATGTTTAAGTCAAGGGTGTTGGTGCATGCAGAGTTTACTCAGTCTTGTGATCCAGTTCTGGGAATTAGTGTCACTCAAATAAACTGCTCTGTGTGCACACAACACACAAAGCAATGAAAGCATGTAAATTATGCACACACACAGCACTGACAGGTTTGCTGACTTCTTTCATCTTATGTCATTAAATGGCTATATTTACACCTGCTTTGTGTTTATGCAGTTCTTTGAATCGTTTCATGGGGGAAAAGGCCAAATCCATACATGTCTCTTCTAATTTTTGAGTGAAGATGAAAGATTATGTGTGCACAGGCTATTTTCTCTCAGAGCCATGTAAACACCTGCTGAAATAAAAATGAGCCTTGGTAGACATTTCCTGGCATTAGTTGCCTCCCTTGCTGCATCTTCTTTGCTGCTGACTCCCTGTAAAAACAGAATACCACACTTGAGAGTGATAAGCCAACCTTTAACCAATGAATTAACCTCACTTCACCTTAGTACAGTTTAGAGATTTGCAGTGCCCAAGAGGAGATTCACTGGACAGCAAATCATTTTGTCAGCCTCCTGCGGTTACCCAGAATAATCCAGAAAAAGAAAAAAAAACAACAACAACAGATAATCACGTGCAACAGCAGAGATTTAAACTCTTTGGATTACCTCTGCATGTCTCAGTTTGTTATATAGGTCTGTCTGGTGGGTGCTGTCCTCCAGCCCAGCTTGGCCTGTCATATTATTTATTGTAATACAACTACTTGGTCCCATTGGACAGACAGCCAAAGGGGCAGATTAAAGTGGTGTTGGTAAGCCGCTCCTCCCCACCATGATTAGGATGCACACATCACCAAGAGCACTGTGATTTCTGCATCTGCTATTAGGTTAGTTTCAGGTCCTCCTCTGGTTTGCTAGTGAAGAAGGGAACATTTCTTTACATGAGTCGCATTTTACACTGAGACTGTGGCCACTTGGCTGACAGTTATTCACAGTAGATCATGTAAACTGCAGCTAAGAACAAGGTGGCAAAGCTCAATATTTGTATGGTCACAGATTGTAAGGGCTAAAAGCTTTATATGTAAGAAGCTAGAAAAATATATAGTAATGATATTTATAATATAATGATATATCTATAAATGCCACTTAGCTTTAACAGTCCGTCATTGACTCAGAGTTTAATGCAGAGGCTATACGCTCTAACAATCCAGAAAACACCTTTATCATTATATTTTTTAGCTGAGTTTGAAATATACACGGTTTCAATCTTTACTCTTTTGGTCTTTTGGAGTTGATGTTCAGCTAACTCTGCCTGCAGACCAACCTTCCCAGCAACAGGTGTGACTCAGTTGGAAGTGACCTGAGATGGTTTGGGTGCATGTTCTAAGGGGCATCCAAAGGAAGACTTTGACACCAGAGCCTGCCTGTAAAGGCCTGTGAAACGTATGCCTCATCTACTAAATGAAGTAATTAGTCAGTGATTTATGTCTGTATTTGTATTGAGTTTTAGATCACATAGCTTCATCACTGAAACTGAGACCACGTTTCAGAAATTGGGCTGTTCATGAACCTGCATTTGGAACAGTATATTTCCTGTGTTGCTCTCCAGTCGATTGTTTGGTGTTGATTTTAACCAGCAAGTGGTTAAACCACAAATTTAATGGATTTGTTGCATTTAAGAAGAAAATACCAATATGCAGCATTAATCTCTAAGTGTTTTGTAACCACACCACTGCACTGATCATCTTGTAATGCCATTAATCTGGTTTTAGTTGGACACACACACACACACACAGCCTACTTGCTGATTTTAGTATATGAAAGTCAAACCACTTAATTATTTGTGCTTTGTAGTTAGAAACATTTTATTTCACTAGGTTTTATATATGGTGTGTTATAGTCGAGTTAAGTTAGCTTGATTTACATAACCTAATATCACAAACCAAACATGGACCTTAAAGTGATCTATAATCTGCTTTGCATACAACAGTCTCGGAACTTATGCTCTTGAAATTTCTTCAGCTGCCATGTTTCCTGATTTTTATCATCATTTATTACCATTTTATTATTAATTTATATTACATTGCTGCATCATTTTATCACATTTCTGATGCACTAAAATATGAATTTTTGGTTTTGTTAATGATTTTATTGATAAGACTCCTTGCATTAATGC